ATAAAAAATAAAACGTGCATTTCTATGAACTAAATTGTTAGCTAAATAACAAGATCTAATCCATTACATGATCTATTTTGCAATAAGTATAATACGTTTTCAATTTATATATAAAGACTTATTTAAATTGATTTAAATAATTAATTTAAATTGATTTATTTATTTTAGAGTACAATATTTTATAATAATATGTAATAAAAATACAAATAATTATTAAAAATTAAATAAAATTTAAGTTGATTAAATTATTTAAATAAATAATTAATTAAAAAATAAAATATTTAAAAATGATATATAATATGATGAAATATTACTCTTTGCATATATATATATATATATATATATATATAGAAAATTAAAGCTCACAAAAAATAAAGATTTAAAATTATAAATTATAAAATTATATCGCAAAATTAAAGATAATTATCTCCATATATATATATATATATATATATATATAATTCAATAGTCCAAAAAATATTAAAATTTATTTTTACTAGTATTTTGACTTAAAATTAATAAAATATAACTTACAAACAACATGAATAATAATTGCAATGTTAAATTCAATGAAAATAAAATAAAATAAAATGATATAATATTATTATTTATTTTAGTAATATTCTTTAAAACATGATGAAATTTAAATATCTTATTATTCTTTAAAGTTGCATCCATTTAATTTATTTATTTTCCTTACATTTATAATTCTTCCAATATGGATATTTTTATGATAAGATCTACTAAAATAGCCTTAGTATCTATAACTTGAAATATTTTTTATTAATAATTGAAATATTTTTAATTTTTTTATAAAAAGAAATTTCAACTATCTTTGATTTAAAAAGATAGGTAATATTGAGTGATAGATTCTACTATTTGAAATATATATTCTCTCAATTTATAATAGAAATGGGGAGAGAAGAAGAAGAGAAGGTCAGCACAAGTAATAGACTAGAAACGGGATATCGAGGACACAAAATAGAAATAAGAGGATGAGGAACAAGAGACAAGGAATTAATCACGGAATGGAAAGAAAAGACATGTCAATAATTAAATTTGATTGTGGCTTAAAGAAATATCTTTCTTTTATATATATATATATATATATATAGAGAGAGAGAGAGAGAGAGAGAGAGAGAGAGAAAAAAAAAAAAAAAAAAAAAAAAGAGAGATTTGTAATTAGTTACTGTAATTTTTAGTATTGTAAGAATCCACAATATTTGTGAAGTACTAAAAATAATTTATTTTTATTATAAATTAATTTAATTTTTATAATCTATAATTAAGTTCCATTAAAAATTACATTGATATGAAGTCTTATTTCTTGTCACTTATAAAGTGATAATAAATTTTTAACTCATATATATATATATATATATATATTCATATTTATATTACTAAAATATTATTAAATATATATATATATATATATATATATATATTTATATTGATAAAACAAATAAATATTACTTTGATTGAAGTAAATTAAATTTTTGAACCAAAAACTTTCTTAAATTAAAATAATCATTTAAATTTTTTTATCATTTATTGATTTTAATTTTTAAAGCATTAATTCTTATCATAGTTTTTATTTCTATACATACAATCAAATAAATGATTTTTTTTTAATGAAGTTGATTTCAATTAAAACAATTGTTAAGCAAGAACTAAATTCAATTTATATCATTAATATTGAAAAAAAAGAATATATATACAAACATGTTAGAATTAAATTAAATAGATTTATCTAACTAGACAACTAAGTTATTATACACATAAATGTGCATGTCATTACGTTGATAAGATTAGAATAAGAATCATAATGTATATCTTCAACATTCCTCTTCAAGCTAATATTTGCATGTGTGTATCATTATATCTCTAAGATATAGCAACCTTCTACTTTTAGAGGTTTTTCCACATCTTCAAGCATTGATACAACTTATTTCAGTTGTAAGTTTATCTTCTTCATTGATAAAAGATAATAATTACAACCTCAATTGTCACTTTATAATACTAACTTGTGAAAGTTGAGCTTACAATTGTAATTTTTGTTAGTAATATTCTTTATGCTTGAAATTATGTTGTAATATGTTTTTGATATTCTTATAGAGGTAGTTCTTCACTTGTTGATAATATCATTAGAATAAGATGAAACTTCAAAAGAAGTCCAGTACATTATTTGTAATACACTTGTACATAAAAATAATAACCGACTATTAATACAAATTATTTCTTTAATTTTCTATGTATTATCCATTAAGCTAAAAATACATTTTTAATCTTATTCTATTATTTTTTGTCCTTTTAAATATTATGCAATATGTAGAGGTAGAAAACCATGAATCTACACTACTTAGATAAAATACAAGAGTTTAACTAGACAAATTATTAGAATAGAATTCAAGAGTTTTAAGCCTAGACTGGATATAAAGGAGCATCTAACATAAGAATAGTTCTTCTATACAAATCAAATAATCTTTTGATTCATATTTTTTCTCTATTGTAAGTGAAACAAAATTTAGATAAAAGTTTTGTAAGTATTTTTATATATTGAATTGTGGTTAAAAAATTCCTTATATTTATTGACCTAACTTGAACTTTATTTTTTACATAATGATATTTTACATCAATGTATTTTGTTTTTGCATACACAATTGAAATGTTGGTCAGTTTGATTGCATTGATATTGTTACAAAGAATCAAAGTAAGATTGTTGCCTATTATTTGAAGTTCCTTCATTAATCTTTTAAGATTGTAAATATTAGATGATGCTTTTGTTATGCCTTTTGATTTCGTTTTTTTAAAAAACAATAATACTAATTGTTGAAGCTTATTTTACTAGTATCATATATATATATATATATATATATATATATATATATACATACATACATACATTGATAGTAGTAATTATTAAAATAAGAAAAATTAGGTAGAAATAAAAGTAGATAAATTTGATTTTAGTTTATAGAATAGCTTCTTTAAAGCTTCATAGATATGGATTTGACTTTACAAGTATTAAAAGATGTTTGGTAGGTTGAATATTTGGCTAATAAATGAGCTTGTGTTACATATATTGACCACTAGTACTATAGATTTGTCATGTGGAATATGTGATTTTAGAGTAAACCTCATAAGGTTTCTATTAGCATTAGTTTTGAGTGATTTCACTTTATATTGACTTTTTAAGTGCTTTACAAAGTTAGAGATGTTTTGAGTAGCAATATTTGATATTGAATAAAAAGAGTATTACACTTTAATAAAGATTGTGAGTTTTGTAGCAAATCCATAGAAGAAATTTTATAAACTTATGCAAATTATTGTACCAATTGTAGATTATAAATTTAAGGTCAATTAGATAGTCAAATCATAAGTAATTCAAATTTATATAAATTAAGGTCTCAAATATTATGTTTTAAATATCAATACAGGTTTCTTATATTTTGAGAAATCTACCAATTAGATTAGAAATTTATTTTTAGTATCCTAATGATTAATTAAAATATTTATATTCATGCAAATTCTAAGAAGAAGTTAATTGTTCGAGTGAAAGATATTCAAATTGAAAGATTTGGATTGAGGTTAGAGAAGAAGGATGGCTAATATCCAAACATATTATAAGTCATTTTTTTCAATTTATAAAGTTAGAGTATCTTGAAGCTTTGTTTGCTTATTGTTTACTAGTAAGTTGAGGTATGGGCAAAATTTGAGTAAAGACCAACAATTAGTGTAAAATTTATTGAGATTTTGAAACTGCTTTAGTATTTATTTAGGATTTTATTAGTGTTTCTTTTGGATATCAATAAGGTTTCTTTTGGATTCTTTTAAGCTTTCTTTAGGATTTCCATAGAATTTCTTTTGGATTTTTTTTGGACCCTTTTAAGATTTCACTTGGATTTCTTTTAGATTTCTCTAAATTTTCTTGCGATTTCTTACAAATTTAATTAGGTTTATTTTTAATATTATTTATGATTTATTCAAAATTGCCAAGAAGTTTTTAAACACCTTATGCTTGTTAGTTTATTTTATTTTGTTTTGTTTTATAATAGATTCATAAATCTAACTTCAAGGTAAGATCAAATTCTCCTACATTCAAATGCCATATATATTTTCAACCTAAATTTCATATAATTTCATAATAATATACTAGAAGAAGAAGTTTGGATGTGGATCTTACTTAGATTTAATGAACTTAAAGTTAAAGATAAGGTTTGTATTCTCAAATAGGCACTTTACAAACTTTGACAAACACCTAAGGCTTAATATACAAAGATCAATGCATATTTATAATTAGTTGGTTTAACCAAGAGTCATGAAGTTTTCACCAAGTTTATTGAAGAAACATGTTCACAATCTTGTTTTGATACTTTCATTTTATAAGTGGACCTGAAACAAAAACTGCTGAGCAACTATGTTCAACACCCATAAATGAATATGCACGTGTGAACACAAGATCAAAAATGGACAATTTCTTTTCAATTCAAACAATTTTCTGTGTACAGCTAGCAACATGTCAATTCCAGTGAATTTATTGAAGGAGATGGGGCAGCACAATGCTATCTCTATCCTTCCAGGGAGCTGTAACCTATAACGTTGCCATATCAACAAATGATCTTCTGCGGACAACAAAGTAGCTGCAATCACTACTTTACACCTGAGTTTAACTGCTGTGGAACACCTGCACAAGCTCTGGTGGGTCTCCATCGTATCCAGTAATGCCCATATCTACTCAAACTGTGACCTCTACAGAGCAGTATGATGTATCAAAAAGAAAAAAGAAAAAAATACATTGGTCACACAACTCTCTCTAATCCAAGACGCTGTAGAACATCTTGGGAAATAGAAATAAATTAAACTGTCACGTAGGAGGTGTACTTTGTACTTGACTGCAAGTGAAGCCCCTTTCTCTTCGACTCAGTCAGCTTCACTGTATTGTAGGCTGGAGATTCATCATATCAAACTGTTTTGGTAAAGCTTCATGGAATGACAACGCGTAAACAATAATGGAAGTAAAGTATTAGAAATGAAACCATCAGACTGTATAAACAGCTCCACAGAAAAATGAATACAAAATAGTTTCCTGTATGGGTCATATTACCCAAGGCATTTAGGGTTTAGAAACTAAAGGTTGACAACATAGCTATTAGTACTTCACTGTAAAGACGCCAAGGCTATTGTGGTAATATGGGTATGCAGCAGCTCCCACCTCCATACTTTGACCCCATACCATACAACGCCCTACCACCATGTTTGCTATACGCAAGCATCTGTGCCTTCAGACTCTAATACTACCTTCTGATGCAAAATCATTCCACGCCGCTGCAACTCCAATTCGCTTCCTGATTAAGCTGGCTACAACAATACAAGATATGTGAGGTTGGGAACATTCATGAATGTTAGCACGGGAGTAGTAGCACAAACCAATACTTCCAGCTAAAGTTTTTTGCGAGGCTTCAATTACTCCAGGATTTTCCTGTCCTCGGCTAGAACTTCAAAAAAATGTAACATTCACCGACTCTACACATAATGAATGCTAACCATCTTGCTCCCTCATAGCTTCATGTTAGAAAACATAAGTTTCCGAATCCTCACTCGCTGCTGTAGTATCCTTGGATTCATTCAGAGCTCTCTGCTGCAAAATGAAGAAACGCTGCAGGACCTCCGATTCAGGTCCTGATTGTTCTGCAATGATGCAAGATGTTTCAGGTTGGATACACTTGATACAATTAACTCGATCTATAACTTCCGTCTGACACTGCAAAAGGTATGTATCTGGTACTTGAAATTTGCCACACCTTTCAAACCCTCCATTTTTCAGTTTCTTGGGTACAATAATTTGTATTCCAATAGTTTGCGGTAGTTTCCGAAGTTGGCAGGTTTACCATGTTCAACCATGAATCTATGTTCATGGCGCTATTTGCAAAAGCTAAAAAGCAAATCCAGCGGGATGATAGTCTTTTCATTTTACTTACCCTTGTCAGGTGTCCCTTTCTGAGTACGGAGAACACTCTTTGCCGGTTCAGTTACTGGTTCATCATTCATCGAAATGCCTAGTTTCGCAGCAATCTGCTCCAATGCACGAGAAGTAGGCATCATCGACTCCACCGCTGATTCTACGAAGTGATTATTTACAGCTTCCAGTACTTGATCAAGTTTTAGCATTATATCAGCTGCAAACATCTTTCTATCAGTGCGGTAAATAAGATTAGTCGAGATTGGCATTGGAAGATTGAGAGATATGAAAGAGACATTCGTAAGAAGAAATAATAAATCAAAGAAGTCAGATTGTTTCTGGTCTTCCACACCTGCCCAAGGAGGGATGCCCACTGTTGACGCTGCAGGCGAAAACGAGACACAAGACATATCAAAACATATTTTAAACAATACAATGGTAGGTAGTGTGCAAGAATTTGTAGTAAAACCCTAGACACTACCAAGCAATACAATAATTGGGCGACAAGCACATACAACAAATTGCAAAACAAGACAATCTGGCGCTGTTTCGCTCATATGTTTGATCAATACATAAGGCGTTGAGTTCTGAGCTCATTACATTTTTGTGGACTGGCATCCTCATTTGAGCTTGGTGTACTGACTGTAAGAGTCATATGAACAGGATTCATTTTTTGCTCATATACTATGTCCTCGAAGTCGCTGTAGTCTGCTATAGTGACCACATCACCGTCGAGGTCGGTGTAGGTTATAGTAGGTATCATTGTCCTAGGGAAATTGAAGGATGAACTAATAGTATCCAAGAGCTCTCGGAACACCAATTCAAGTTCTCCACTTGGCAAACCCGAAGTACAGAGGCGAAATCGGCGCAGGACATCGCCATACTTGACCTATTCCACGAGTAATTGGCGTCAAAGTCGACACACAAAGAAGGAATCTACGCTTAATAACTTTCAGAAGACATTGTACGCAAGAGGCATGTGATGTGCTAATTAATGAGGCAGAGCTAGGACCAGAGCATCGATCACACAAATTGTACACAAGAGGCATGCGATGTGCTAGATAGTGTGCCAACAAACTGAGATTCTACCAGACATTACCCCGCAAAATGTCTCCGAGCCTTACAAAACGCCCTAGAGGACCGAGGAGTCATCGAACACGCACCTTAAAAACAGTGTACATTGTCTCTTCGGAACTATCGAAGCTTGAGCAAGTGTGCCAAGCACAGACCCCAATCCAAGATTCACAAATACAAGCACAGCGATAAACACGACCCACAAAGAAAATTCCCTCAACCCAATTGATGATCGATTGTTTCTTGCACCACGTTCATATACTGATCGCCATCCCGCACTTGAACAAACTACTACCTAGGGAAAATGGGCAACTGACCCACGGCCACTCCAGAAGTAAGCACCACAGCAATAAGTAAAATTAGTGCTCCACAGCTCCAAGCAGTGAAGACATCGAGGATTGTGCAGTGGGATACAGACACCCTGTTCACTCTCATTCATCCATTATCGATGGTTCCGATTCGAATCAGTATCGCTTGAAGACAACGCGTGGGCTAGCATGAAAGAAGACGTATGCAAGAAAGAAGCAACTCACCCATGCTCTGGTCCATGCTAAATGGGCTTTTAAATTCAAATCTGTGATGCTTTACCATTACAGCTTGGCACAAAGATTGAAACACTCGATGTGCTTTCTTTGGTAGGACCCATGTGATTACAACGCTTCGTTTCAGTAGGAGAAAGATGGGAATCAATAAAATCCACAAGTTGTTTAAATGAAGCACTCAAATTAGAACCGACTCGGATTAACCAACCAAGCGCATATGATAATTAGGCGATTCTCTGGAATTCATCCCACTATGTATCGTACAGTAGTTTAAGGTCTATTTGTAGACCGAATGCAAAGCGTCAATCGACTAACATTATTTTAGGCTTCAGAAACTCTTGTCCTGTTCAATATAAATTGATATCTACAAACATTGACAGTTGATCTAAACCACGATATTCGTCGCACCATCTGCTTTCAGAGCTTGTTCCTGGGCAGATTCTGCTTCGGTCTTCCTCACCTCGTCCTTGGGCTGTGGGTTCTCTTCGTCATCGGCCTTGAGCACTCTTGCTTTCTTCAGCTTAACAACGAGTTCACCCTTGCTATGTAATGCTTTGACGGCATCGTTGCCACCGATGTGCTCACCGCCGATGAAAACATTAGGCACTGTCAGTTGCTTGGAAGTTTGAAAAAGAGCTTTCTGAATGGCACCGCCATCCTCTGTCACCACACCCAACCAGTATCAGATCACAGCAAAAGATCGATGAAAACTCTCAGTCACTTGCAGCGTAGTAGCTCAAAACCACGAGTCGACAGTACTTACAATTGAAACCACAACCTCATTCCGATTGAAACAAAACAGAAAAAACAAAAACAAAAAACAAAAACGATTGCCCACTTACTCTCGAGGTCAATTTCGACGACTCTAGGCTCCACCTCCAAGCTCTTGAAAAGCTCCTTCACGGTTTTACAGAAAGGGCACTTACTCTTACTGCAACAAGATTACACACCAACCACACCAACATCTGTGTCACAACATGCTTCAAACACATTCTAATCCCACATCCAATCCAACTCGCTTCACATCCACGCAAGTTTCGAACAGCGAAAAACACACAATGCCATTCCGGAACCAATCTACGCCATCGGAATGCATGTTATAACACCAACCCGACAAATCACAAGAATCACACATAGAAACTCAACCATGGAGCACCACAATTGCGGAATCCACCGAGCACTGGTGCGGGTGACCTGAACACAATGAGAGGATTCTGCTCGATCAGCTCCTGCACTTTCGCCACCGCCATTGCAACTTCAAACCACGAAGCTCAACTTCAATTCCTCGCAGGTAAATTCCGATTCAACTCGAGCAGTGGCAGCTCCGATTCTCTGGGTATTGTGGGGTGGAATTCTAGCTCTGCAGTCAAACAGTGTGTCGATTGCACCAAAGGAAAGAGCACTCGAAGCCGAAGGAATTGATCGCAGCGGCGAGTATTGAAGAAGGCTTTGCATGAGCCTCGTGAAGGGAGGGTTCGGAGCTGACCTGGCTATTTTATGATTCGACACCTGAACTGCGCAGTAGCGCGCGCGCGTCCGCGCGCGGTTGTGGACCGCCAGAAAGCAAGTCCACGACGGAGTTTGCTCACTTGCCACGTGCAATAATTCGGCCAGCATATAGGGTCGTGCTGCGGACACGTGGACTAGGTTCTGATCCTTTTTGCGGTTCCCAAATCTGCCACATTTGGAAAGATCGCGATCGATCGGGATTCGTCCGTTTTTCATCCATCGATGCGATTGTTTGTTGGGTTTGTGGGTCGTCGGCCATGTGGATGAATTTCTTGCATATATAAATATATAATTTTATTTATATATTTATATTTATGTGTGTGTGTGGAATTTTCTATGAATATTGGATGAAATTTTTATATATGTGTGTAATAGGAAATTATAATATTAGAATAGGTGAGCTGCATGTGATAATTATCTAAATATGAAACTAATAATCTGTAGACATTTTGAAGAAAGTTTATTTTTAAAGATTGAATTAGTATTAAGGGAGATTTTTTCATAGATATGGCTATGAAATGAGTTTTGATATTATATTTTTGTAAAGAGAAGATATAGGAGATGTTTTTTAGCAAGATTTGAAAGATTTTTATTCATAGATTTGGTGACGTTTGTTATGTTATTGTTATTTGAGTGTTGGGGAAAATTTGAAACTCAGTCAGAAACTTCAACATTTCAGCAGTGTTGGTAAATCAGTATATTTGCAATAACATCCTAATTTATTTACCAAACAGTGTATAATTCTAATGAAAATCGAAAATATGTATTGACTTAAATATGATGTCTATGAAATAAAATGACTTGGAAGCCTTTACATGAAACACAAGCACTTCTCTCTTAATATTTACATATATTGAAGTATTAATAATCCAAGTAGTCAACCAAAATACATTATTTGAATAACATGGTTTGTAAATAAATAAATAAATAAATATTCATTTGGTGTTGAATTATAACTGTAAAGCATAACATGAAGTTGGAATATATATATATATATATATATATATATATATATTATTATTAGATTGAGGCTTTTAATTAATTATGTATATGTATATATATATATATATATATATATATATATAATCTAACAAAAAATTTAGGGTGTTGTTAATGTTATGATAGTTTATGCTAATGCCACCACAAGCTGTTCTAAATTTGCATTGCACACCTAAATGCATTTTATGAATCACTAAAATATACATCTATAACAAATGTACGTTTCATTCATTGTAATATGCATTACAAGTTTAAGGTAGCTTGTGGTGGCATTAGCAAAAACTATGATAACATGTGGTGGATGGCAGGTTGTAATGGTAACAGCAAAAACTATGGTGGTAATGACAATAGCAACACCCTAAAATTATGATATTCATTGCACTAATTTATATGAATGTAAATTTAAATTCAATGTGTAGCATTTACAATGAGTTTTTTAAGCTGAAAATTCTACAAATTGTGCTTGTTTTTTAAATGTTGTTTTTATGTTAAGACATAAAACCTATCCAATCAGTAATAACTGTGACAATAAAGTTAATATATATATATATATATATATATATATATATAAACATATATATTTATAAATTTATATCCAAATGATGTGTTAATACTCTGATCTAGAATAATTACACTGATCCTTTGCATTTCTTCTCTGTAGTTTTGCTTGTTTTTTTTAATTTTAGGTTTATTATATTTAGGTTACAGTTGTCTAAAGTTTTTGGAATGATAAATTATAAAATAAGTATTTTCTTAGGTATAGGTCATGCACACAAATTTCTTAGCTATTAACTACTGACCTTTTGAAAAAATGAACAAAACAAATCATGTTATTAGAATGTGAATCTTTGAAATAAACCAATTGAAAAATAGCAAAGAGCGAGATTTGATTTTTCTGTCAAAGAGTATAGTGGAATGATGTATATTCATATTATAGTTTTACTAGAATAAAAAGTTATGAATTTCATGTATTCAAAATTTATATGAATAAATATCCTGGTTAGATTTGAGGGTATTGAGTTCCAGTTCACAATGATTCTGGGTCTAAATTTAAATGTAATGACATTAAATATTTGCAGTATTTTGCTTTCACGATATTTGTGAAAATTTTCTTCATTAGATTGGTCTGATTTAAAATTATTTAAAAACTTCATGACCTTTTTTCATAATTTCCTATTCATCATATTAGATGGCCACCAAACATCAAAAACTTCCTTCACATGAAACATAAATTAAACCACTTTTAATATAACATCACTTTGGTTTTGGTTTTAGTTTTAGTGTTTTTTGGGGAGTTTATTTCTTTATATTTTCATTTGTGATAAATATTATATAGTTAAATTAGAAACATTTTTATAAAAAAAATGACCATATTTAACAATAAGCACAACCTTATTCAATTGTTTTTATTTATTACTTGAACAACCTCAAACTTTCGCTTTGTTACACATGGGTGCAAATTCAATGCTGAATGACTTATTGGAAACTTGTTCATGCTTTTAGAATCATTACAAAATGTACTTTTTGCACTAGTTTGAAGTATTTCATGCTTTTGAAATATGAAACCAAGATAATTTCACATTATATTCTAAATATGCACATAGAGTAGATCCATAATAAATCAACATTTTTGTATCTAAACATTTAACATGTTTATGTACAAAAAATATAAATCTCCATAATTGATCTGTTTGAATAGGATTGTGCAATCTTTAAAAATGTAATTATTTTACAGTTTAAATCTTTATGTTTTATTATTATAATATTTACTATATTGTATAATTTAATATTGATCCAAAATTATTGTACCTTTCTTTAGAATATTTTGTAATTTCACTAAATTTAAAAATATTGAGAAATAAAAATAACTAACATTGTTTTATTATAGTTTTATATAAATACATATTGAATAAAATTTGGAATAACCTTAGAAGGTCCTAATACTTAAAAGACACAATAAGAGGACATACTTTTAAAGATTATAATTGGTTGAAATTGAGAAGCCTTACTTAATTTTCTTTTTATATTTAAAAAATCAGTTTAGAGTCTATAAGAAGAAAAAACGGATTAATTTATTTTAAATTTACTTTACATTTTATCTTTTTTACATGGCATATATAATACTAGATGGACCCGTGTCATTGTCACGGAAAGTTTGACTCAAATGAATCTATTTTTGTGAGCCAAAGCATATTTTTCAAATTCAAATACAATACAATAGAAATAGAAAGAAAAAAATTACATAATGAAGCTTTCATGTATGAAGTAGGATAAATAAATCTATGTTGTTGTTACAAATAAATTCTATAGATGTAACTATAAAGATAAAAACTATAAAAAAAATTAACTATTTTTGAAAAATTCTTTAAAATAAAAATTAAATAAAAAACTAAAAACCAAAAATAATAAAAATATCTAATAAAATTTAAAATTTAATAAAAAATAACTTAGTAATAATAATAAAAATAACAACAATAAAAGAAGATATTATTTGTGAATAATAAAATTATAATAAAATTAGAATAAAATTATAATAAAATAAAATATTCTTTTAAAAGTAAATATTATAAATATTAAAATCTTAAAATTATAAAATATTATAAATAATAAATATTTTTTGAAAATAATAATATTCAAAAATTCAATTTTATACACATAACTTTAGTTTAACTTACATTATAGTTTAAATTACATTATACCAATCCAACAACAAATCCAAACATCAAAAAAAAAAAAAAAACAAAACAAAACAAAACAAAAAATAAATAAATAAAAAAACAAAGAACAAACAAACAGACAAAGTCAAAAAGCTAAACAAAAACACAAAAACAAAGCACTATATCATAAACCCGTATCGTTGTCATGGAAAGTGTGACTCAAATGAAGTTATTTTTGAAAGATATGTTTGTAAGCCAAAGAATATTTTTCAAATACAAACATAATACAATACAAATAGAAAGAAATAAAGTACACAATAGAGCTTTCAGGTAAGAGGTAGGATAGGTAAACTTGTGCCATTGTCATGGATAATATACGAAAAAAGTAATTAATTTTGTTCAGCGAACTACTTATGAAAATATTAAAAAAAAAACATTAAATTATAAAACATTAAATCATAAAAGTATATTAAGACATTCAAGATGTATTAAAGTCAATAAATTAATAAATTAATAAATTAAAAAATATAAAAAATAAAATACTAATATTTATGTAATTAAAACTTTTGGGAAAATAATATTTAGTGTGGAATTTAAATTATTTTCTCTGGGAAGAAGAATCTTAATAGAACAGGAGGAAGTGCATTGAGATAGTGCTACATAAATTTGACCATGGGAAAAAATATATTGTCATAGATCCAAACCAACATGCTTAACCAATTGCCCTTAGGATTTATTTATTGTAATTGCAAATGCAAGACGGATGGGAAATTACTTTCTCTTTAAAATAAATAGGAGTTCTTTTGTTGTAGAAGTTAATGTAATCTACAGAATAAACACCAAGTTTCTATCAAATTTCCCTCCAAGAATTCTTACTTCAAGAACTCAATCCATTAGTGGTATAATTATCAATTGGGTTCCATTGCAAAGTCCTTGGCAAGGAGCAATATTTCTTAGTAGCATTACCAGAGTCTCAATCCTAAGACAAAGCCTTGATCTGGGCATTCCAAATGGATTAAGTGACTTGATGAATTCGACTGGATAAACATTATTGTTGTCAACACCATCTTCAACAACAACTTCATCAGCGCTTATATATTCTTGTTCTTCTCTAGGAAATATGGCCATAATCTTCTCATTAATATCTTCTACATCATCATTCCATGTAGATAAAATGGTTCTATCTCTAAAGAAGGCATCTTCTCACTTTATATTATCTCTAAAAACTAGGATTACTATAGAAGAAACTTTCCTCACCAAGGGAAGAACCCATTTAATTATTTTATACAACAATTTCTCAAACTAGGCTTCTAAAATAATAAATAAATAATATAAATAAAAAATATATATGTGTTGCTTTTAGTGTAGAACAGGCCACGGCAATGGGGTTGAAATTTCAGGGCAGCTCAGGAGCACATAAAGACGGGCAGGCCGGATCATAATTGAGCCCGGGTGTGTTACCATGCGGGCCCCTATCACCGCGGGCACGAGAGACGGAGGAGTCACCATGTGACCGACCCACCCACCGACCATCAGAGAGAGTGAGTGCCTTGGCGAGCACGAAAAGCGAACGGATGAGGAGGCGGTCGTCTAACGAAAAAAGCAGGGAACGGACGAACGAGACTTCGCAGGCAACGACGGAGCGGAGGTCGGTGGCGCAGGCCAGGACTACGCGACAAGCAAGGGAAGCTTTGCAGGGCAAAAGCGTAGTATATAGCACCACCCTCGACCCCGAGGGTTTCCCATTAGTTGTTGCTTGTGTCTTCTTCGTCTTTGGAGTCTACGTGCGGATCACAGGAACGCACCTCCGATTCGTAGTTGTTAATTGTTGATTCTGCAATTGAAGAAGAGTGTCTTCTCTTGCAACAGCCCTGTGTTGGTTGTCTTAGGTCCCTTTTCCCCATTTCCCCCGTTGTGTTAATTTTGTATAATTGGTTGGTTTTTGTGTTTACGAGGGTTGTGATCTATTCGCAACTGGTTCGTTGTTCGTACCTACGGATTACCGGGACGTGGTGCGTGGAGATTGCAAGAAAAGAGGTTTTCGTTTATAGAAGGAGTGGGTTTTTTTTTTTGGTTACTTTCCTCGGTGGCTTTGCGGATTGACTACTTTGTAACAGCTTACGACGGGTTTTGACGTTCTGGTTGCTTGAAGGAGACTTTTGTGGACATGGCTCCCTACGTTTTAAAGGTTTGTGGTCTAAGCCTCTTCGTTGAGAATGCTCTCAGGGATTTTTAAATGCTGTGTTTGAGTGCAATTGCTTGTCCAACGTTGTGTAGATTATTGGTAATTATCTTAAGTGATGTTACGAACCTAAGTTAATCATGTCGTTGCTTGGTCAGTTGGTTTTTTTCTGTTGCATGGAACACATGCACCGAATAGTGTCGTCATCATGAGTGTTTTTCTTGAACATAGTATATTCGCATGTATTATGGACCAATAGTATACGTTATTGAGTTTTCGGCTATGGTCGGTATTGTAGCAATTATGCACTAAAGTCTTAACAATTTTTGTTTGATTTGCGATCCTTACGCCAGCAATTGTTTGTTAATTGGTGTATCAGATCAAGTATGGTGATGTCCTGCGCCGTATTATTGTGGAACAGTCCCTGCTTGCCATTGGACCTGATATGAGCTTTAGTCAACTTGAGGATACCATCCGCCTATCCTTCAAACTTCCTGTTACATCTGGCTTTGTTATAACTTACACTGACAAGGATGGCGATGTTGTGACTATGACTGGTGAGCATGATCTCCACGATGCATGCGTTCTTCAAGGGTTGAATCCTCTTCGTTTAACAGTAACTGTTCCAGAGACACTTCGCCAAGCTCATTCGGATCAGCATGGCCATGATGGTCACCAAGGACACCACGGTGGTCACCAGGATCTTGGTCCCCAAGGACACCACGGTGGTCACCGGGATCATGGTCACCATGGACATCACGATGGCCATTGGGATCATCCCCGTCTGCACCCTCAGACAGACACTAAAGTCCCCGATATGCAGAACCTTTTTGGTAATACCATGAAGATGTCAATGGAGACTGCGAAGCAAACTATGGCCTTCACCCAACAGGTTCTACAAGCTTGTGAGCCTCTGATCAAGAGGGCGCCGTCGACGGTGGTGTCTGAAGTGATGGATACGATCACTAAATTGGCCTCTTCTGCTCATTTGGGAGGAACAGCAGCAGCAACAACAGGAGCAACCTTTTCCCAACCTGGGTCAACACCTTCCTCATGGACAACTTCTACCCAGCCAGCGGCACCCGCTTCTCAAACTGGTGCCCCTGAACAGTCTGAACCACGCTCCATCTTCGCCCATCCACACATTCATTCCGTATTCTCGGATTTTCATCCTAGCTTCCCATCATCTTTCCAAGCCGCGTTTCCTGCACCTGGTTCCGTTGGATTGGGTAGTGACAAAGTCCAGGCCACTGGTATGCCTCCTCAGGCTGCCAAGGAAGCCGTTCAGCACCGCGGTGTTCAGTGTGACATGTGCGGCATGGTTCCAATTGTGGGTACTCGTTACAAATCCAATAAGTAAGCACTTCGATCCTACAAATTAAGCTTTCTGTCGTTCAATCAACCCTGGATACGCTGAAATTGTCATACATTTTGAGAGATTTTTTTTGTCTTGTATCTTCCTTGCCTCATTTGTACATTTGGCTGATATCATTGTTTCCGTGTTTACAGGAAGCATGATTACGATCTGTGTCAGAACTGCTTTCAAGACTTCGGTAAAGTCGAAGACTACACACAGATTGAACGCCCACTTTGGCGTCCTCGTCACATGAATTCACAAATTGGTGGTGGACGTATGCGGTGTCCAGCATTTTCTCCTCACGGAGGAAGACCATCGTTTCACCTCCGTGGTCATCATGGCCCTCATGGTCCCCATGGTAGCAAAAGCGACTCTCGTTGCGGAGGTGTTTTTGGCCCTGCTGGGGGGAAGTTGGATGCTCGGTTTGTGCAAGACGTGACTATTTTTGATGGCACAGAATTTGCACCTGAAACCGCATTCACCAAAATCTGGCGTTTGCGCAATAGTGGCTCTTGCGCGTGGCCTAAGACAACCCGATTGATGCATGTGGGGGGCGATGAATTAGGATGTGTTCTCCCAGTCAACCTCGAGTTGCCTGAAGGAGGTTTGGCTCCAGATGGTGAAGCGGAGGTTTCAGTTGATCTCGTAGCTCCTGCGAAACCAGGGCGTTATGTTTCTCACTGGCGCTTAGTTTCTCCCACTGGTCAAAAATTTGGTCATCGTGTCTGGGTCTTGATCCAGGTTGTTCCCAAGGACGAGCAATCCCCACAGTTAATGGAGTCGCTTATGGCTTCATCCCAATCATCTGAAGAGGATACTAAACTGCCTGAGCAAGGGGTTGCAGAGACTGCACAAGCACCAGACATTACCGACCTTCAGCCTATCGATACAGATGTTGACGCGATGTCAGTCGTACCGAAGGCTGAAGCTGATGATGTCCTTGTTTTAGTGCCGGAGGTAGCGGCCAAGGAACCAGAAGGTGAAGGTGAAATCTCACCTGGAACCACGCCGTACCCTGAGATCAATATGGAAGCTCTCACCCTGGACCCCGTAATTATTGATGCTGGAAAGATACCGGAGGAGAACACTGCTGTGGAGGACAGTGAGCTTGGGAATTTCTCCATGGTGAACATGCCGATCACCTCTGAAATTCCGATTCAAACTCCTGAACCAGAAAGCACAGCTGATCCACGAGTGCTCGTAGATGATGGACCTGATGACTCCATTACGGAGGGAATGAAGATGCCTGCAGAGGTCGACCCAAGGGCGAATTCTGTGGATGCGATGTTGGCGACCCTTGAGTCCATGGGATTCAAACAGAGAGATGTTAATCAGGAGGTGTTAAAGAAGAACGGCAACGACTTGCAGCGCACCCTTGACGACTTGGTCATGGCAGTGGAGTGGGATCCTATGCTAGAAGAGCTAGAGGAGATGGGGTTTTACGACACTGACATGAACCGCTTGCTGATGTTCAAGAATAACGGTAGCATCAAACGCGTTGTGAAGGAGCTCGTCCAGATGTACAAGGATCCTAAAGGCAAGGAACAGGCTTAAGTTCGATGGCGATTATAACTAGTCCCAACGTCCTCAGCCCTGGCTCCCAAGGCTGTATAACACAAGACATTTGTGTGTAGCGGGTTTAGAACAATGTTTCCACTCCAAACTCGTCTGGATTTTGGGGTCTTTTTAAAACTGTATGTCTCTTGAATGGGATAACAGCGTTGTTTGGAAAACAACAATATCAATAAAGATAATTTTAGTAGTTATTCAATGTCGGAGTTTACAATGTTAGTTTTCTTTCCAATTTATGTATTATAAGGACAGAAGGTTTCGACTATCGAAATTTCCTATTCAACCATTTAAAGTACCAAGACTTCCCAGTCTTAAAAAACATGGCACCTCCTGCAATACTGAATTTTACCGATTTTTTTTTGGTACACCAAAAAATCGATAGAAGGCTTATTGTGCTAACATGCAAAAGCTGGGTACCGAAAGCAGAAGCACAGAATCGACTCACATATAACTTAAGCTTCAAACATAAAGTCGACAGACTAAATGATAAACAAGTAGAATAATGGTGTTATTTCATGGGTTCCGTGGTAAAGTCAGGTTATCATCCCCTTCTAGAAATCATGGATATTCCGTGCTAATTAGAAATAACAATATATATATATATATATATATATATATATTTTATGAAATTCTTAAATTTGTTCTTAATCTCTAATTTACATTAAAGTCTTACCACTTGCAATATATATATATTTATATACACAAAGGGAATTATATGAAGATGAGGATGTACAAACTGAGATGTAATTTGTATGTTTTACTGAATTGTACATTGGACAATAATACTGTTAACTTTCAAAATAAAATGCTAAATCAATACAAAAGATGATATACAATAACATAAATCACAGTATCTGTAAAAATTCTATATATATATATATATATATATATATACAAATAAACACATACACATACATGTTACATATTATAATTTTAAAATACAACAAGAAATGCAAATCTAGTATTTATACACTTATATAAATTGAGAATTTTTCCATTGAACTAATTGGACAATGAAGATTTCTTTAATTTATCTCATTCGAATTTTATATTATGTCCTTTAGCAAATTTTATGATCCTTTTCATGTTCTTGTGTGTGGATCTAATTTTAAAAAATCTCCCATGTCTACAATTTGCACATGAATGAATCAAAGAACATCTGGAAGATTTATGGAGGAATTAGGGTTTAAATGTGTAAAAAGACACAAATCGTACTGAAAGGTTGTTTTTGAAGGTTCTTATGAATTTTAAAGTACTTTTTAAAAAATGATCTGAAAATTTATGATATTTTGTCATGCAATATTTTCATAAGAATATCACAAAAATTACATGTGATTGTTCACATTTGATGCTAAAATGTATCATTGATCATCAACAAATATCATGCAAAGTAAATTTGGGGGAAAAACAGAAAAGTAAATTGCAAATATAAGAGTGCAATGATGTAAAAAATAAAAAACAAAACACACACTCACGATTTTTATGCCAAAATTGTTATATGAAACAATTATACCCTTAAAAAACAACTCCTCTTTACAAAGGTGAATGACTGTTCACATTCTCGTTGTTTGATTATGGATCGAGAACCCAATTTTTTTGAATTTTTCATAATATGCATAACATAATGCAAATTTATATAATTCCTCACATATACAAAATCTCTTTTTCAAATTAAAGATTCAAATTTCACATTTGCAGTATAAACAATTTCCATTATTCTGAAACGTAACGTTTAATGTTTATGCAATGCAAAGAAATTATTTGATATAAAAAATATCACACAGATGCATTTGTATAATATTCCCTCAAAATACAGACAATCATGAAAAACTCAACCGTGAGCAGCTTCAAAAGTAGTTTTTGCGTGGTTAGCAAAATGAACTAAAATGGAAGTGAAGAAATGCTTAAAAAACCTCCACATTAATTTGAATAGACAAAAATCGAAATACCACTACTCTAAGATTTCTATTTGTGACGAAAGCAAAACATCGAAAATTCAATGTGCGTCGAAGCTTTCTTTTAAATTTCTTAATCTATACTATTTTCATAATTTATTCATGCATATTATAATTTTAAATCGAACTCTACTCTAGAGTTTTATTAAATCTGAATATCTGATGACATATATAAAACTTGTGAATGGTATAAAAATAAAAATAAAATGATGTGAAATATATTTGAGATGGACTATATATATATATATATATATATATATCTGCATGTTTTAACATATATATATATATATATATATATATTGTAATTTTATTGTGAACAGCTGCAATGTTTGATAAGCAGAGCAAAGCAGTTGAAAGATTAGTATTCAAAACAGTTTAAATATATTAAAGTTGTAATCAATTTATAGAAAATATTCTTTAAAAAAATATGTATGTTCCAAAGCATAATAAAATTGATGCTATCATTTTAGGTTTTGAAATTTAGTCATTCAAGTTTTTAGCAATATCAAAATTTATTACTGAAACAATGTCAAATTTTTAGAATTTTTTCAAAAAATAATTTAAAATTTTATTCAATTGTTGAATTAAATTCTAAAAAGAATGATCATCATGATAAATATCCAGATGGATAATCAACATACATTGGATATGTCACTTATAAAATTTCAGTAGTAAATCTAATTGTAGTAATTTATTTTTTGATTATCTAGGATAAAAATTCAACGTGGAACGTCAAGTTACTAGATATAACAATATATTTATATATATATATATATATATACACACACAAATTTTTATATATGGATAAGAGAAATTATCGGTCTTCTCACAAAACAATCAACAACAAAGATTATGCTGAATATGAAAGAAGGCGTACTACATGGCATCCATCTGAAGCCATGGAGAAAAAAACATACAACATAAATGGAAATCCATTCAAAGGCAATCAAATGCAACAATCTACCGCAAATGGTGTACAATACGAATTAGATCCAAATGATGAATCATATGGTTATTATAATGATTCTGCAATAAAAGGTTCTTTAGAGTCACCTTCATTCACAAATGAAATGGTAGAAAGTGAAAATTACAATGAATTTCCTCTCCAACCAACACAAGAATTTGGAGATCCTTCATCTGACCAACAATACCCAACAACCATTTATTATGGCGATCAAATGGAATCATCTCCATATCAATCATCACATCAATCTGTGGCAAATGCATCAATTGAACAACCCACAGATGCATCTTATGAAGAATGGGAGAATGATAATATGTCATCACAATCCATGTATGTTTCAAACCAACAATTAATTGATAATCAATCAACTCAACAATTGATGAATGATTTATCAACTCAACAGTCTATTCCACAAAATCAATTGTATGAAGATGAAAATGTATCGCCTTACAAATCAATTCAGACCTCAAATGAAAATGTATTAGTGAGACAATCAATGGCTAACAATTCATATATTCCATCCAATGAAAATGCATCCAAACAAGAATTTATGGAAAATCCCTCGATAGAAAACTTTGTAGCTACAAAATCAAATAGACAATCTATTGGTGCACCTACATATTTTAATGATAACAATGCTCAAATATTTCATGATAATGGCTTATCACCATATGATTCTATACACAAATCAATAGACAATCTTACACTTAATTTACAAAAACTTAATCAACCTAAAATCAATGAATTTGTACAACCATCAACTAGACAATCTATGGCAAATAAATCCATATCACCATCAATTCAACAATCTATAGGAAACCAATTTATAGAACTATCAACTAGTCAATCTTTGGCAAATGAACATATGCAACCATCACCTCAACAATTTATGGAAAATGAATCTATGCAATTAGCATCTCAAGAATCTATATTAAACCAATCTATACAACCATCAACTCAACATTCTATGGAAAATAAATCTATGAAACCATTAATACAAGAATCTATAGATAACCAATCTAAACAACAATTGATTCGACAATCAATGGCAAACCAATCAATGCAACAATCAACGCGGCAATCTATGGAAAATAAATTTATGCAACCATCAATACGACAATCTATTGGAAACAAAGTTATACAACCATCAACTCAACAATCTATAGCTAATGAATATATGCAACCATCAACTCGTCAATCTACAACTAATGATTATATACAACCATCAACTCGTCAATCTACAGCTAATGACTATATACAACCATCAACTCGTCAATCTACAATTAATGATTATATACAACCATCAACTCGTCAATCTATAGCTAATGATTATATACAACCATCAACTCGTCAATCTATAGCTAATGACTATATACAACCATCAACTTGTCAATCTATAGCTAATAACTATATACAACCATCAACTCGTCAATCTAGAACTAATGAGTATATGCAACCATCAACTCGTCAATCTATAGCTAATGACTATATGCAACCATCAACTTGTCAATCTATAGCTAATGACTATATACAACCATCAACTCGTCAATCTATAGCTAATGACTATATACAACCATCAACTCGTCAATCTATAGCTAATGACTATATACAACCATCAACTCGTCAATCTACAACTAATGAGTATATGCAACCATCAACTCGTCAATCTACAGCTAATGAGTATATGCAACCATCAACTCGTCAATCTATAGCTAATGACTATATACAACCATCAACTCGTCAATCTATAGCTAATGACTATATACAACCATCAACTCGTCAATCTATAGCTAATGACTATATACAACCATCAACTCGTCAATCTACAGCTAATGAGTATATGCAACCATCAACTCGTCAATCTACAGCTATTGAATATATGCAACCATCAACTCGTCAATTTGCAGCTTATGAGTATATGCAACCATCTACTCGTCAATCTGCACCTAATGAGTATATGCAACTATCTACTCGTCAATCTGCACCTAATGAGTATATGCAACTACCAACTCGGCAATCAATGGCAAATCAATTTAAACAACCATCAACTCAACAATCTACAACTAATGAATATATGCAACCATCAAATCGACAATCTATGGTAAAACAATTTAAACAACAATCAACTCGACAATCTATGGCAAATCAATTCAAACAACCATCAAGTGGAGAATCTATGGCAAACCAATTCAAAAAACCATCAACTCAACAATCTATGGACAGCCAATCAATGCAACCATCAACTCGAATATCAATGGAAAATCAATCTATACAACCATC